CGCTAAGAGGGAGAGAGAGAGAGAGAGAGAGAGAGAGAGAGAGGGTATGAGGGGAAGGTGAGGGACTGAAAGGCTACATCGATGTTGGAGGACAGTGGCGGCATGTTGGCGCGTCATGTCGAGAGCCGAAAGTCCGCGAAACAATATCCGAGCTTTCCATCCCCCAGCTGCACCGCGTCGCTTTTTCGTGTCCTCTTTTCCGCCGCTCTTCCGGGGATGTTCTTGTCACAGATTGCGCGCGCGCGAGCGGTCGGGATTATGGATTTACTTTGATAAATGGCGACTCGATGTATCCGCGAGGCGTAACCCCGGAATGAAGATCGCGTCGCTTTAAATTATAAATCTGGCGGCTTGACTCCTGCCACACGATATCGACACGGATAAGATCTCCGAACTCTCTCATATCGCATTAGTGGTATCTCAAACACGTAGTGTGTCGCGATTTAAGGCGGTTGCTGTGTGAAATAAATTCCTCTCAAGAACTCCTGATAATAATTTGAATTACATATATCAATCGAAATATTATATAAATGTTTACACGATTAGAAAGAGATCGGCTGTTTGGAAATTGTGAAATACGCAAGCGATGTTGACGCTCTTAATACCTGTTTCTTTCCATTGCGCCGATGTTATTGTCTTTCTCTTAATTTCAACTTCGCCTCAAAGCGTACATTGAAAGTTTAAAACAATATTACTGAGTGTATATTTCAATATGCGAATATTATGCAAAAAACAATATTATTGATCGTTGTATAAAAAAGAAAAAGAACATTGACGTGAATAATTTATAAAAAAGAACAAACTCGACAGACGTGCATTAGAATAAATAACTTCGAATAATTATTCTTGGATATGGGTGTATAACGAAAATACAACGTCGATCGACAGTTTGCTTTGATAAATGAAAGAAGATAAATTTTTTTTAAATACATGCACATTGCAAATCTAAGTGTGTTATTTTGACTGACTCTCTTTTTACATGTTTCTTACCGCTTTAAGTTACGTCATTTAATGCGTTTAAACCATTACATTATAATTTATACGTCTCTTAAGTGTTAAATTACTTAAAACGGTAAGAAGCGTGTAAAAAAAGCTTCAGCCAAATTAAACGTTTATGCGTTTAAAAATAACACCTTCAGATTTGCAGTGTGTACACTAAGAACATTATAGTTTCTTTTCCAATTTTTTTCTAATTTTTTTTTAATTCTGCTATTTTTCTTATAGTACGGATATAGATTGTCAGTGACAAATCTATCTTGCTAAAAGAACATAGTAAATTTCGCTAAAAACATAGCAATTTTTTTTAATAGCGCGTCTGGGTTCCTAAAATATAAAAAGCACGTGTGAAACGAAAGGAAAATTATTACAGAATATGTTGATCTATTTCTTTCGATTATAAAACTCTATAGCAATTTTTACTAAATTCTCTCTATGTGTATGTAACGGGACCGTCTCTCGTATCCTCCATAAATAAAATATTAGTGTATGTGATGCATTTTAAGATACGTATTGTTATACTCGATTCTTCTTTTCTGTCGTGTGACTGAACTTCTCGACGGTACAGTCGCGAGACAACTACTCGAAAGGACGAATCGTTCGTGTCGATCGGTAGGAACTATTTCGCGGCTTTCTTTCCCGCGACGGTTTTCGCGTGAATTTTGCGAGTCTGACGAAATCGTCCGGAAGAAAAGTGTAATTAATAATGTAACGACGGTGAAAAGACGACGCGCGACTCGGGATCGCGCGTGTTCGAAAAAGTGCCGTGCAACAATGGCCGGGACTTGTCGGGGCGTCAAGGGCCGCCGATTAAAAGACTGTGAAGCAATATCTAACGCCGCCTCCGTCTCGCCGTTATCTCTCTTCTTGCTCCCCGTCATCCCGCTACGGTACTCCTGTCTCGTATTAGTTATCGTTTATCAGCCGGCCAGACAAAACGCGGTGCCCGGAATTGGGTGAGCCATCTGTTGCCAGACATGATCGATAAAAGTCTGCCAAGTGTTATCAGTGCTAAACTGCTATTTCGACGGGCTGCCGCACGCGCGCACAACCCTCTTCTTCCACTTCTACTTCTTCTTATAGTTCTTCCGACCGCCGGTCTACCGCAACCTGTCTCTTCGTTCACAGCAGCTGTATACCTTGGACGGCGTGAGGGCATGTCGCGGACACTCTTGTCGAGACGGATTTTACTTCGCGAAAATTGTCCGACCACACCGAGATTGATTCTCATTTCATGAAAAATCCTCAGCAGGGCGATTAGAAAAGAAGCGTTTTTCCGCAACAAAAAGATTCTTCTATCTATCTATCTCTATCTAAACTATCTATCTCTATCTCTGTCTATCACTTGCTCTCTCTCTCTCTCTCTCTCTCTCTCTCCCTCTCCCTCCCTCTGTCTCTCTCGTGTGAGAACTCAAATTCGCGCGCAATAAACGTCGTGCATTTCGCCGCACGCGAGCCGAAAGTGAAGCGAATTTTCGCATGGAGAATTAATCTCGCATCCGGATTAAATTCGTTAGCAATATTGCCGAGTGCGGAGGTGACCGAGCGAAAGGAAAATTAGGGTAGAAACTGCCTCTCGTTCCGAGAGGCCACGGACGCTCTGTAATAAGTAAGTACCAATGGTCGGTGGAGAGCAGGACCGCGCACCTAATTTAATATCATTGAAACACGATCTTGACAATTAGCCGTGTAATTTTGGTATTTAGTAGCCCGGTCAGAGCTATGTGATCAACCGTAGAAATTAGATATTCTAACGTTACTCGTATCAGCTTGCACTAATATAATTCCATTCGAATAACGCGGCATGTTAACGTCAACTTTCAATCGCATCTCTATAATTTTACCATGATTAAGCATGTGGATTCCCCTCTCTCTTTCTCTCTCTGGCAAAAGAAGGAACATCACACTGGAGCCCATATTGATAGTCATTACTTGAAATTTATTTTCTCCCCGTGACATACTCAGATACAAATATAGAGTTAGATTTGAGGTTTTTACTTACATCACATAATATATGCGATGTGTTGCGAAAGTAGATTTGCAATCGCGATCCGGCTAAAAGATTCACATCTAGCTCTAAATTCAAATCCGAGTGCCTCGCCTGAGGCAAGTTTCAAGTAACGACTATTAATACAGCACTGGGAGGAGCGACGTCGTATCTGCGCGGCCGGAGGATAATTGATAGAGGCCATAATTACAGCCGCTCTCAATAAAATACCTGACGCAAATCAGAGAAATAGATGTCTGAGCTGCGCTGTATCGAACCGCTGCCGGAAATTAGCGTTGTTTACTTCGTAACAGGGGGACGAGCTGCAGCGATTGATCCTAACGTGCGAGAGACAACGGCAGTCCTGTATTATCGTAGCTTCCCGCAACACATCGCGTTGCTCGCTATCGCCCATCGACTCCGTTCATGATTCGCGCTCGTCGAATTTCAATGAGACGCGCGTCGCAGATATATTCGATAGCTCGCCAAGAAACACGAGAGAGAGAAAGAGAGAGAGAGAGAGAATGAGACGTCGATGGTCGTAGTCGTCGTCAGCATGGTAAACGGCGGATAAATCTTGCCAGAGGCAAAAAAGGAATCTTCACGGGAAGACGAGAGAGCGAACCGATCCAGTTTTCTATCGCGCATTTCGCACGCGATGGACCGCATTTATCGGTGCTCTCTCGTCGAGAGAGAATTTTTATTTCGCCCTTTTATTCGCTGCGCGTGTGTGTCAGGTGACGTCGAGCGTGCAGCGTGTATCGCGCGAGATCCCCCATCGAGGGAGCTTCCGCACATGCGGAAAAAAATGATATCCACTCGCACGGCATATCGTCGAGCACCGGCCGACCACGGTCGAAATAATGTTCCAAGACGATCGTGCCTTGAATTCTCGACGGCGAGGAGCGCGCCGAGCTTGGCGCCTTTCATTGCGCCGGCAACGCGAGTATCGACGGCGGCTCGGGCCGTTTTCCGCGACGTCGACTCGGCAACTTGTTGGGAAAGCCCACTTTAATCCCCATTCCGCGTTCGTTTGACCGCCATTTAATTCCGAAAATAGCGACTCGTTTCGCGAGTGTCAGAGATTCAAAAGTAAAATCCATAATGGCGATTCCGGGAGAATTGTCCGATCACTAGCGGATTTCTTCACAAGTGTGAGTCTCCCGCCAAACGTAGTCTCTTCGAATAATGAAAAAATTATTCACTACCGATTCACTGTAATGGCCACTCTTAAGTGATCTTTTAATGAATTGTCACTACAGAGGTTCTCTTCTATAACATGCATTAAGAACTACTGAGTAATCTGTCGTTACTAAGCAATAGTTTACTCACTCGTTTTGATATCGCGAATACAAAATTCATTATTAGACACAATAAATTAACGTAAACTACGCAATTCTTAACGCACGATATCCTTAAAGTTAGAGAAATTTTAGTCTTTTATTCGCGGTGTAAATCTTGATTGTCGCATCTCATATATCACTCATCACGTGTAAGAGATCATTCCAAACAAACATATTCCTCCTTATTCAAGAGGAGAAAAAGAGTTAGAACAATATATCTGGTAAATGTCCGATTAACAGTTATTAATGGTGATCCACTTCCTTAGAAGAAAAGTACTCCTTCGATAATAGCTTAAAATATGGGATTGCAAGTATTAGCTTGCAAACTTCTTTTCTTTTGCATCATTGCGCTTAAACTTCTTACCTGCACCCTATAATTCCAAAAGAAATTCTCACGAGTCAAACAGGTATGACCAGGTGCTGCTGGTCGCGGAAGGAAGCAATCTTTTAGAGTGCCAATGAAGCGGGTATGCAAGATTGTGTGACGTACCCCACGCAGTGTAGAACAACAGACACGGAGATGTTATTGTACATTGTAATCCATTGCACGCGTTCAATGGCAAGAGTCTGCGTTTAGCCGCAGCTTAAGCTAGGTTCGATGCGTCTCGAGCAAGCAACTGTGATATACCTCCGCACGAATATTAACGAAATTTCCCGCCCTTATTATGTTTCAGACATGGAGCTGCCGGAGCACTCCAAGATCGGCAACCGGAGATTGGAGGACGACGCGGACGACTCGATTGGCGATCGCGATCACAGACTGAATCGCGTCTATCAAGGCTCCCTGCGAGAAACGGGCTCGACCTTGGAGCCGGTGTTCGACGCGGACGACAATTCGGCGTCGACCACGTCGAGGGAGAGCGCGCCGCCCGCCTTCGGCGTCGTCCTGATCGGCATCGCGCTGCACCACTTGCTCGCTTCGACGTAAGATAAACGTAACACGCCCTACACGACTATACCTGAACACTAGCTCGCCACAGCTTGATTCTCCCGGCTGCGGAGAAGATTGCGAGACAAGCGGGAAGTAGGAGTCCCGGCGAGTCGCGTTCACGGCGTCTTCCGCGATCACGGCTTCGATCGCGACATGTCCACCGTGGCGGCGTCGATCGATACCTCTCCACAGCAGCGTCGATATCGCGACGAGGAACGCGATGTTGGTCGCGACGCGGCAACGCGACCTACGTCGCCAAGCTCAGCGAACGACGGAACGCGTCGAGAGTTCGGACGCGCGAAAGAGCGTCACGCGGAAAAAGAAGCATAAGAAGAGATTATCGCGCGAGGACATTAAGCGCGCGAGCGCATAACGTATAGCTCGCGCGCTCTGTGTATATATAATGTATCACGGTTTTAATTACGCGTAACAATCTTACGGCGGTCCGGTTTTCTCTAACTAGAGACACCCATACACACGCGCGCTCGCGCGTTCCCGTTTATTTATTTCATTCGCGCCGCGCATAAACTGACGGATTAAAATTACGTATGCGGAATTCGCGGCGGTCTCCATCAACGTCAACCCGGCGCGGTAATTAAACACCTGCCGGCTCGCATTTTGATGATGAAGGAAACGCATTTGTAAAATTCCGTTTTAAAAAGCGCGCCAACAAACGTTAATATTAAATTCCACGTGGAAATAATACGCGAAGGTACGGGCAGATCGTAGAGAGAGAGAGAGAGAGAGAGAGAAAGAAAAAGAGAGAAAGAGCTCATATATTAACAAGCGACACGTTAAATTGAGTCACATGGAACATAACGCGTGTCACACGTAAAAATAGCGGTGCTCGCGCCAGACGTCGGGTCGAACGTTCAAAGGCCACCAATATGGGCGACTTTTATATTCAAAGGAGACAAAAGCGGCAGCCTTGGCTGCTCCTAGTGGAATATCGTCAAACAGATTTCATATATTACGCTCGGCCGCGCGTTTACTTATAATACACCGATACTAATCATTCTCTTTTCAGCGACCACTCGGTAACGAAGTTATTTTTCTTTATTGGCAACGACAACACGATTACATCGTTCACATAAAAAAGGGCAACGAATGTAACCGTCACTCTCAATAGTACTTTACAGATATAGAATATATTTATGGGTAGAATGGGTAGAGCAACGAATCAAATATCGAAAAATTTCACAACTTGGTGAAGAGTACGAAATTGCTGACCACTCGATCATTATTATTAATAAAGATAAGGGCTACGGCTTATTTTTTCAAATGAGTAACGAACGGTAAAGGTAGCGAGTTACACTCTTTTGTTCAATGGATACTTAAGGTAAGAGTGACAATGTCTAAACGCCAGCGTCATGAAAATATCAATTAAATTTTCCTCGATTTAATAATTGATTTGAGCAAATATGTTTCAATTTAACTAGTTGACGACTGAGTTGAGTCGAAAATCAATTGGCAAATGTTTAATTGACGATTGATTTCAACGAATTCGATTAAAGACCGCTCAATTGACGGTTGATATGAGCGAAAGCAGTCAAAAATTGCTCAATTTATTTAAAACCTAGCAAATTCAATTAATGGCCGTTTAGTTGGCGATTGATGTAAGCAAATTCAATCGATTCAGTCAAAGAGCGTTCGATTACTGTGGAAGATGCCACAGTAATTGATTGAGAAGTGCTAGGAGTCGCGTTGAGGGGAGGTAATTGTCATATCAATCATAACCGAACAATCTTTAATTGAATCGACTGAATTTGATCATATCTATTTGCTTTATCAAATTTGCTAAGTTCAGTTGTTAATTAAATAGCCTTTAATTAGATTTGCTATGTTCAATTATTAAATGAACGTTCTTTAATTCCTTTCACTCATATCATTTGTCAATTGAACGGTCTTTAATTAAATTCGTTGAAATCAATCGTCAGTCGAACGGTCTTCAATTGAATTTATTGAAGCCAATTGTCAATTAAACGGCCTCCAATTAATTAAAAAAGTAATTAATTACCTGCAAACCCGCTGGAACACTAATAACATTGCCCTAACTCTGGGCATTCTTATTGTTTTAATCTTTAAATATTTAAACTTTCAACGTAGAATATATGCATGTATATATTCTCCATATTGGAAGTTTAAATATTCGTATCTAAAGACCAAAACAATAAAAATGTTCAGAATTAGGTAGCAATATTATTAATGTTTAAGCGTTTGCACTTTTACCTTTTACCTAGTAAAGTCATGAGAGGCACGAGGCGTGTTTTCGTGCTAAATCATGCATGCGACATGTCATGCTAGCTAGCATGCTAAGTACAAAACTAGAAATTTTCTACGCTGCATGCTGTCATACATGCTAGCATGTTAGTTTTTTAAATTAGAACCGACGTTACTTTTCTTACGCGATTTCGCGCTGACTCAAAAAGATAGACGTATCCCATATGACGATTATTGAGACTAGCGATGCACAGTGATAACTGTTTATAGTATGTATAAAAGACTCTATATATATAAAATTTATTAAAAAATTGTATTTCATATATTAATTTAAATTACGTAAATATATATATATATATATATATATATATATTTATGTTTAATATTACAAGTATTATGTATTATTTATACATTACGTTATATATAGATATATATATATATATATATATATATATATATATATAATTTATGTATATATATCACACATAAATATATTTATATATTTACGCAGAGTTATTCTCCGTTTGCACACCTAAAATATAATATCTCAAATGTGTGCAGTTAAAATAGGGCACTTGTATACAAGGAAAAAATGATAATGAAGTTGACAAAAGATTAGCTGTGGTAACTCTCTTGTTAGTGACAGATAAAAAAAAGAGAGACGAAATGAAAAGTAATGAAATGAACAGCAAAAGAAACATTAAAAAAGCAAGTTGCGCGTGTGATGCAAAAACCAACAGCACTGGCAGCCTGACAGCACGCAGCGCGGTCGAAACGAATCTATCAGCAGAACACGCACCGTGCGTCATAGACTTTACTTTCGATAGATCCCAGCCCGAACGTTACGTACGTTGCCCTTATACACATTCTCGAAATACTTTATTACAAAATACTGTATCACTTTCATTATACTTACGTTCGAGACGGAAGCCTCTCAGTTTTGTGACACGAGGATGATCGGTTTCTAGAGGCGGTTCTCTGCGTAAAAGCTGTCCATATTTCGCGGCATCGATCCGAACGTAGCCGCTCTTCCGTTTAACGCCCGTGTAAATTAACAGCTTAACGAAATATCGACGAAACGTTAACGGCAGACCGAAGATCGTGAAATTCCGTCGTCATCGGCCACCTGCTCGCGATTGTCCGTCCGCGGTTTAACGAGATATCTCGTTAGCGGCCGCATCTCGCCGGCCGACGTAGCCGGTCCCGATGACGTAATTATTAAAATCGCCGATCTCTTTCGCGAGCACGAGACGTCATCTCGCGGTGCGAGACGAGGCGAAACGTTACACGCGGAATCAATTACGTGAACGTCGCTCACGTCGAGTCGCCGACGCGCTCGGAGAAAGCGCGTCCAGCGCGACCGAGGGTGAGAAATCGTTTAATTAACGGCGCGAATCCGCGATCGATCGAGCTAGGTCGCTGTATTGCCCTATCGATGTCTAACCCAACCGATCTCGCACGATCGAGAAGCGCGGCGCCGCACAGTGCGGTCGAATAAAACTTCATGTTTCGAAAAAGACTCCGAAATTCGAACCAGGTCTTTTCCTTTTTTTTAATAAAAGATTACGAAGTTTAGAAAAACTTTGTCGGGACAGATGTCCGTCTTTTGTTTCCCTTCTTTTAAATCATAAATAAATAAGTTAGATTTAGAAATTTATTTCAATCAAACGGAAGATAACTCATTTCATATCTTATCTAATTTAATATGAGGCACAGATATCGAAATGAAGTTTTCAAACCCTGATTATGGGCTTGAAAAAAGTTACAGGCTCATTGAATCTTATCTTAACTAAACAAACGAGATTAAAGTAATACCGAATTTTAGTAAATAGACATTACTGAATAAGTAAAACTAAATTATTATTCTTATGTTGTTAATTTTTGTAGTAATTATTGTTCTTGAAGTATTAAGTTTCGAGCTTTATGTATGATTTAGAAGAAGAAAAGCAAAAGACGAAAGTCTCGTTCGACAAAGCTGTTCTAAATTTCATTAGCTTCCATTAAAAAAGCAAAGTAGATTCGAAATCGGTTGAAATTTCGAAACTGCAGTCCTTTTGAAACGTGAAATTTCATTTGATCTCACTGTGCAGCGAGCCTTTCGTTTGCGTAACGATCCCACGACACGTGAAACGTACGTCTCGTATCCCTAGGCGAGAAAATTCTATTCCGAATCGTGTTCTGCTCGAATCTCCAAGCCGTGTGTGAATGGACGAAAGAACGGAGCATTCTTAATTTTTCCTCACGTTTCTCTCTTGGTTATGTGTTTTGTACAATCTTACATTATCAACATATTCTTCGATAAAAAAGGAAAAAATCATTAATGCATATGGAAAAAAAGAAAAAGAATTGGCAGAAACGGTAATTGAAATTTTTCTCATTAACATATTGGCCGCGAGCAATCGCGACGAAATACTCTTTATCGACAATTTCGTTATTAAATGCCTATCAATCTTGTTATGTGCGACGAGAACATCTCTCCTCCCGGCATTCTGACAATAGTCAGGCAAGCTGTGTCACACGTTTAATTTTTTCAGTAGGTAACGCGAATGTCTTGTTTTATTGTTTCCTATATTGAGGTAAAAGTACCGATATTCGAGCAAATACTTCATCCCGGACATTTATTGTTTTTGGATTTTGGTTTTTCACCAAAATAGTTAAGTCATACATTTAAGATTGTCTTAAGTTCATTTTCAGATACTATACATTTTATTATCTACAAAACATCTAAATTTGATAATCTCGAATATAAAGTCGAAATATGAATATCGGTCTTTAAATACGAACATTTAAACTTTCGAAATATATTATATATATATATATATATATATATATATATATATATATATATATATATATATTAAACATACGCACATGTCAAAAAAAAATTTAAATGTCGTATATAAAGACCAAAACAATAAGGTTGTCCAGAATTAGGTACGTGACCGGGAACTGGTACTTTCACCTTGAGCTCTGATCTAAAATTCGGTGCAGCACGTTTGAACGTATATCCGCTCGAAATAACCTGTCGCGATAGGAATTTCGGGACGAGGGAATATCTATGCATGCTTTGTGGTAAAATTCGGGAATATAGTTTTATTCGCTTGTGAAGCAATGCTTCATAAATCATTGATAGCTGCATTTGCGAGTGACCAGCAAGTTTCAAAGCTCAAACCGCAAAGAGTCGTTTAATGTCGCATAAAACTCGATCTCGCTTGCAAAATATTGCCAAGCTATACACATACTCTGAGAAAAAATCTTGTGAGAGTTAACAGATGCATTTGGTTGAACGTTTCAGTGCAATATCTGATAATTAGTATCAAATATGATATTACCACACAATCATCTGCTAATATAATTAACATATTTTATTAATTATATTTAAACACAAATATTTCATTTAATATACACAAATTCTTCATTTAATTGAAGTAATTAAATGGTTTGGTAAATTGTACCAAATGATTTGATAATAATTACTAAACAATTTATAAAAATATTTGATCATTTCATATCTGTCTTATTTAAATTGTTTGGTAATACGTACCCCCGCATAAATAGGTAACAGTCATTAAGTGTTAGTAACAAATATATTGCCAAGGTTATTTGTTAATACTTGTCAAACTAGATTATATATTTACCTACATACACATAGGTTCAGTTAAAACTAAGAAAAAGCTAAGCTTTCACCAAAGCATCTGATTCAGCTATTATCCAGGCTTGATGATTATTAAGTACCAAATCTTATTCTCAGTGTAAAACCGGCTTACTTCGCACGACCTCGAGAACGCCACGCTTAAACTTTTGTTTTCAATTGAATATACGACACATAAATGTCTCATATATATATATATATATTTACATTAATGCCGGGACTGATATGTAAGCGGTGTCGTATGATTGACGACGCGCCCATGTAAAATCTCGAAAAATTCACGGTCTGTCAAGAACACGACGGCTCAACGCTAAAGCTGTTGATACGCAACATTGGCTCGATCATAACGAAGTGTACGCGGACGAAAACGAAAGTGAGAAAGAGAGAGAGAAAATAGAGGTAATTACGTGCCAAATGCCCGCCTTCGTTGTCTTTTTTTAAAAGAAATTTGTCAATTTCATTGAGGCGGCTCATCGACATCGGCGTTTCCAAGGGTCCACGTCGCTTTTCTCAAGCTTGATTCGTGTCGCTCCATTTCGGCGACTTTTCCATAAATGGCACCGAAACTCGGATTTAGATTCTTAATAAACTCGAATTGTGATAAACGTCTTATCATCTTGAACACGTCTTGAACGTGTTTACGCGAAAGCGCGGGAACAACGAAAAAACATTGCTCACCCGCTCTCCCCCGCTGCATAAATGCTGCACGCACTTTTGAGCTTTAATGCTCATCAACTCGTTAACAGACAGATTTTAAATCTAATAGCCGGGGTTTCTCGTTAAGCAGATTAAGAGAGACTTCCATAACTTCCCTGTAAATTACTCTTATGGCGGGAAATGCTATTACTTCGTGCCGAGCGGGAACTTTAGAATCCTATTTCTCAGTTTTGACATAAAAGGCACTTAGAGGTCCCTTTACAGAAAAGTCGTCCGTTTAAATGGGACAATGAACACCCCGTTAGAGACAAAAGGTCGCGGCGCTTCATAACGACGACACTTTTGCTACCCACTCGTTGTTATACCGACAGGCGTTGTCAATTACGTCATCTCGCAGTCGCGTTGTAAATGGACGATTAACGCGTATGGAGGTTAAATATTTTATACTTGCGACGAGCACGAAGAATGGCGCGAGCATAGTCTGCCTGCCTGCCTGCCTGCCTGCCTGCCTGCCTGCCTGCCAGCCGGTCATCCAGTCGACGCGATGCGTTTTCTCAGAGGTGTAATAACATGTAACAAGGTGCGACAACTGGGTCACACTTCGGGTCCCCTCTTCACGTGACATTAAATCATGTATCATATTCGTTGTCGTATCATCGATCACAATAAACGTCCGGAATAAAAATAGAATCTCGCGATATCACCGTAATGGAAACTAATAGGTCCATTTCTTCCCCCTGACACGCGTTTCTGTGTTTGTGCGTGTATATTTTTTCGGTACGGCAGTACCACTCACACACGATCGGTGACGTATCGCTCGACGCGTCTCCGTGACGATGAAGAGACTTTAATTGGATGAATGAAAATAGCATTAACGCGACAATAGCCGTGTCTGACCTCGCTTGATCGGGTCAGGTCGTCCGCATGAAGAACTCACGCGTAATTTTATACCCACGAGGGCAGCCGCGAATTGCACGTGCGACACTTTTCACGCGGCGCCACCCACTTTCGTCGAATTTC